TCCCTTTAACATTTCATATAATAACAAGAGCTTGGTGATAATGAACTCCTTTCACTTGACCTTATCTGGGAAGCACTTTATCTGTCCTTCCATTCTAAATGATAGCTTTGCTGGATAGAGTCATCTTGGATATAGGTCCTTGACTTTCATGACTTTGAATACTTCTTTCCAGCCCCTTCTCACCTGCAAGATTTCTTCTGAAAAATCAGCTGAGAGTCTTAATGGGAATTCCTTTGTAGGTAACTGTCTCCTTTTTTCTTGCTGCTTTTAAGATTCTCTCCTTCTCTTTAATCTTGTGTAATTTAATTATGATGTGCCTTGGTGTGTGCTTCCTTGGGTCCAACTTCTTTGGGACTCTGGGCTTCCCAGACCTCCTGGAAGTCTATTTCCTTTGCCAGATTAGGGAAGTTCTTCTTCATTATTTTTTTCAAGCTAGTTTTCCATTTCTTGTTCTTCCTCTTCTCCTTCTGGCACCCCTGTGATTCAAATGTTGGAATGTTTAAAGTTGTCCTGGAGGTTCCTAAGCCTCTCTTCATTTTTTGGAATTCTTGTTTCTTTATTTTGTTCTGGTTCAACGCTTATTTTTTCCTTCTGCTTGAAATAATTTATTTGAGTCCCTGTTTCCTTCCTGTCATTGTTGGTTGACTATGTTTTTCTTTATTTCACTTCGCATAGCCTTCACATTCTCCTCTATTTTGCAACCATACTCAACCATTTCTGTGAGCATCCTGATCACCAATATTTTGAACTCTGCATCTGATAGGTTGGTTATCTCTTCATCATTTAGTTCTATTTTTGGAGTTTTGATCTGTTCTTTCATTTGGACCATATTTCTTTGTCTTGGCACACCTGTTAGGTAGTAAGGGGTGGAGCCTTAGGTATTCGCCAGGGTGAGGCAACCCAGGTCACTGTGTAGTGGCGATATATGTCAGGAGGGGTCAGAGAGGGAACTGCTGCTTGCTCTGATCTCTGTCAGCTTTCAGTCACTCCTCCCACTACCCACTAGCAAATTGGGCCCTTCTGGTGCTGATTCCTGGGTGGCTGGGTTTGTGTATGTTCTAAGACCCTGTGGGTCTTTCCAACAAATTCTGTGTGGATGGGAGTTTCTCCTGCCACTTCAACCCTCCCAAGTTTTTTCAGTCAGAGGTTTGGAGGCTTTATTACCCCACACTGGAACCCTGGGTTATGTGGTTTGTCTTGCTCTCCAGTTCCTCCTCCTGGTTTATCTGCACACAAATGTGGGACCGCCCACTCTGCCAGCTGCCACCTTGCTGCGAGTCCTCTCTACTCTGGCTGCCCATCTCTGCCCTTCCCACCGGTCTGAATGAACATTTCTTCTTTAACTCCTTGGTTGTTGTACTTCCATACATTTTGATTTCCTGGCAGTTCTGTTTGGTTTTTTGTTTTTAAATGTGTTGTTGTCCTTCTTTTGGTTGTGCGAGGAGGCCAAGTGTATCTACCTATGCTTCCATCTTGGCCAGAAGTCTCATCTGCAGCCTTTCTACTCATGTATGCGGCCTTGGATGCACTGCTCGGGAGAATACAGGGGACCATCTCTTCTGAAGTGGGCTCTGCCTCTCCCTGGCTGACTTTCGGGAATCCAAAAACAGGAGGGGCTGCTCTTCCTGCCAACAGAATAGTATCTGCAAGCCCTAGGGCAGCTGATAAGCCTACTTATTTTCCCAGAGACTTGGGCCAGGTGCTACTGCCATCCTAGCTCTTCCTGGTCAGCCTTGCTCAGCAGGTCTGACCTGGCAGCAGGCCTCCCTCTGCTCTCACTGGCGGGCAGTCCACGCCTCCTCTATGAGAGCCTCTGTGAATCTCTAGCTTCACGGTTACCTTTTCACAAAGAGGCACGGTGGGGGATCTTTACAATAAACAGATGAATGTGCTCTCAGAGCTATTGCCCTGCTAATGACCTTTAGACACAAGAGAACTACTCCAGTGGCAGTTCAAGGAGCCCGCAGAGCTCTGCCCCTTCCCTGCCCCGGGGCAGGGTCCTCAGGTCCTGCGTGCACGGCTTCAGTGGGAATTCTGCCACTTAGAACGTGCCATGTGACAAGACCATCATCTCATACAGAAACTGCTGAGCCTCGGACTCTTCTCTGCTGACCTGGACTGCGGCAGAGGCTGGCGTGGTCACAGAGGCCTTCACTTGTCCCAGATTCAGGGACGGCAGCACGGGTCAGGGAAGGGCTGAGTGAGCGGCTACAGGGAGAGTGGCAGTGGCCTACAGTGATAATGACCTTTGATGAGGTCAAGGGTGGGACCCGGCCTGTGGGCTTCGTGGCTGGTGAGGGTGAAAATGGGCTGATCAAGGGGGCAGGGGTGGGGGGCTACCACAGTGCTGCTACCTGAAGGAGGGGCAGGGTCTCTAGGAAGACCCTCACTCATGCCCGCTCCCTGAAGTCCGAAGGTCTTAAGAAATCCCCTTTTCCACAAGGCGTTGCTTTTGGCCAGCACTTCAGTATGTGTGCTCACAGCTGTGTTAGATTTGTTGAATGGCAAGCACCGAGTTTCTGATGATGACCTCGGAGGAGGGGCCACAGAGGAAGGTACCGAGGAGGCTTCCTGCCCATCATGTTGTTGTTGTTGTTGTTGTTGTTAGTAATTTTGGGCTTACAGAAAAGTCACAGAATTCACACAGAGAGTTCCCATTTACCCTTGTTGATGTAAGAATCATCTAAACCTGCAGAGAATTTGTATAACAGTTTATTTGAGCCAAACTGAGGATATATGCTGGGGAACAAGATTTGAATCCTAGTGGTTAACAAGGGCCTCCAAGTTCACCATCGAACCAAGATATATCGCTTTCAAGAGGAAAACATCAGTTCAGGGCATCACCTGGTGGTGGGTGGTCAGCCAGCGGTAGGATTGAATGAGGCAGGAAGCGTCATGGTAAATGCAGGTAACCCTTGGAGAGGTCAGTCTGCTCTGGTATGGGAACTGCTTCAGGGCTTTTTGTGTGTGTTCCAATGTAAAACAGAGCTAACCAACCCTTCAAAGTAAAGGGGATTTGTTTTTTTCCCTAGCAGTATACATTGGTATGACTTTATCATCGATAGCATTCAGCCAGTGTTCAAATTGGAAAGATGAAGAACTTTCTCTCAGTTCCTGTGACCCTGACATCTTTGTTGGGTGTGTCCCCGAGTTAACCCAGAGCTGATACAAGGATGGTAAATACGGTCAGACCTGTAGTGTGTCCCCGAGTGTGGCCGGGAAGCCACTGGAGTGGCCCAGACCGGGAGGCACTAAAGGCCGTGACTGCAGTCACTGCCCATTGAAAAGATGTTTCCCGGGGACCTAACACACACCAGCACTGATGTACTGGAAGACATTAACAAGTCCTAGTTTCAGAACTAATTACAAAGACTGTGCCATGCGCTCTAGCGTTCAGCCAGGCACAGGCATTGAGGATGTGGCAACGTGGTATCATCCTTCGCAAGCATCCACTTCAGTAGCCATTGCTCCAGACCCACCACAATGCCGTGACGGGAATCTCTTTAACTAGAGTCTGTGTCCAGAATATAACACGATGAACATCGTTTTGGTGCAGTAATAACCGGGAAAGTTCTGAGCATGTACATGCAATACCCAACACCCAGTCAACAAATATTTATTGTGCAGCTGCTACGTCATTGGTATGTACAGACATGCATCATGCAGACACATTGACAGTGGCCAGTTAGTAGCTCAGAGCATGAGACTGGATGTTAAACAAGCCTGGGTTCTGGTGCTGGTGCCACCATTTACAAGCAGTGTGACGTCGTGCAAGGGTCAGGTTCCTTAACTATAAAATGGGAACATAAATATGCCCACCTGGTGGAATTATTGTGATGACTAAGTACAACCAGGTTTGTAAAACCTGGCTCAATGATCAATTGAAAATGACTGGGAATTAGATGGAGGTAGTGGTTACACAACATTTGGGATATAATAAATGCCACCAAAGCGTCCACTTTAAAAGGGTTAATTTTATGTCAATTTCACCTCAGTAGAATTCAAAAAGAAATAAGTAGCAATTTCTGGTTTTCATACAGACATGTATATGCTCATAAATTTGTTAATTAAAACATTAATTCAGAAATCCATAATAGGCATGGAATTAAAAGGGTGACGATAGTATTTAATCAAAAATTTTAAAAAGAAATAATAGCATAAAAAAAGGCAAGAGGCAGAAATCAGCACAAAGAGGGCAGAAATCCACAGTGGGAGTTTGGTGAAAGTTTGCGAGCAGAGGGTTCGTGGTGGCGGCCGAGCTCAGGACTTCCCTTCTGGTGTTCAGTTCAGTTCAGTTCAGTTCTGTGACCTCCAGGGACTGCAGGATTCTCCAACCAAGAGTACTGATGATCTCACGGGGACCGACTTGGGCCCTCCCCCTGTGCAGCAGAATCAGGGCAGGATGCCTCAGAGGAGCCACCCCAAAATCACTGACTGGAAATCCTGCTGCAGCGACACTGCAAAGGAGCCAAATCCCCCATGTGACCCAGGCATGGCCACCTGCCAAAGAGCCAGAGGGAGAGAAGGCCACTTGCCTCCTGGCCACAGAGATTTCCTAGCCCCATCCGAGAACAAAAAAGCAGCACAGGGCTTCCAAGAAGCCATTTCCAATGATGATTTGGCTTTGCTAGGAGCAGCTGTCATGCCAGCGTTTGGTGCATCGCTCTTTTGGCAGCTCAGCCATTCTTCCATGGGGAAGTTGTGTTCTGAGGTCCCTGTGGTGCCTGAGGCTACCGCCTTCACCATCTGCTCCTGCATCTTCTTCCTGCGACATCAGAGTGCAGCAGGGTGTGCCTTGGCCATCTGATGGGGTGCAGGCTGTTTGACTCAACTGTGCACGTCCTCTAATGCCAGGAGAATGAGCCTACCCGAAGTCAGCTGAACAGAAGCCAGAAGTTAACTGCAAACAAGCAGCCCAGCGTGCTTAGCGGCATGGAGGAGACCAGAGTCACTGCAGCGAACGGAGTGGGTGGCTGCTAGCTCCCAAGCAGTGATGGTGCCTACAGAGTGACAACCACAGGGAAGCGTTCCTTGCTCTCCTGAAGAAGGCAATTACCGTGCAGGTAGGTTAAAGTGTTTCTGAGACCTCCCAGTGTCAGCCGAGAGTACGGCAGCTTCAGAGGGCAGGTTGGGTGCAGGCTGAAAGCTGTCGAACCACTGAGGAAGGTGATTAGCAGATGGGTTCCTGGCAGTCCCGGTGCTCTCAGGAGCTGGTTCCTACAGACTGCTTGCTCAGAGGGGCCGAATACTGTGCAGAGAGGAAGGAGAATGAAGGTCTTACTCTGAAGTAGGGGGGAGCCAAAGTCCCTTGCTGGAGAGATTCCAGCTCTGCTTCCTGGGTGCCAGTAAACTGGGGTTGTTGGTCTGGGGCATGGTGTAATCACAAGGACTCCGTAAGTAGGGGCAGATGGGTTCATGTGGGTGCTGTTAGACAAAGGAGCATCGATCCCAGCATCTCCCAATGCACTCCTGTTCTCATTCCCTCTCCCCTCCCTTTCACCCTTTCTCGTCACTGCTGGTCCTCTCCAACTCTCCAGCTTCTATTCTATTCCTGACCTGTACCAGAGACATCCAAGTCCCTCCTTACACCCCTTTTTTAGTGACTAGAGCCTGGTCTGGCAGGAGGAGGAAGTTGGCGCAGAGCCCAGGACTGGAGCAAGGAACTGTGGAGGGAGAAAAGCGAAGTCCCATGGCTGGAGTTGTAGAGGAAAGGGAGAAACCATGCAAAGGATTCAAGGGAAAGTGGGAGGAGCCAGAATGCCTGCTGAATTGGGGGGCGCTAAGGATAGTGTGGAAGCCAGGAGTTTAGAGGTTGGGAGGTAAAGAAGAAGTCAAGTTTGGGAGGGTTCTTGAGGGATGGCCCTGAGCCAGGAGACCTGGCGAGCAGGTGGGCAGGTCGGCCTGGCTGGGGGAGACCAGAAGTGGAAAGACAACTCCATCAGAACCACACCAGCAGGCAGGGTGCAATCCTCCATTCCTAGCCTCTCACTCCCTGCCTCTCCTTGGCCCCCGCATTCTCTCAGCATGGCCCCCATCATCTCTGCCCTGGGCAACTGCGACAGTCTCCCCACAGTGTCCCTGCCTCTGGTGTCTTTCACTTCACACGACTGCCAGACATTATCTTTCTCAAATGCAAGCTTGGTCATGCCCCCAAGCTTAAGGGACACTAGTGGCTTCCCGTTGCTGCAGAATAGAGCCCAAACTTCCTGCACAGCACGCAGGAGGCTTCGGGATCTGCCCCCTCTGCCTCTGTGGGGATAAATCCTGTAACTTACCCGCAAGCACCCAGTCACCTGCAAGTATCTAGTCATCGGGATTATTTGCTGTTCCCTGAATGTGGCCTTGTAATTGCCTCTTACTGTCTGTTAGTCCCTCAGAATACCGTTTTCTTCTGGCCTGCCCACCAGACCTCTCCTTATCTTTCAAGACAAAACCACTTCCTCTGAGAAGCCCTCCCCTCCCCTAACCCTCCAGATCAGGGTTAATTGTTCCATCTCCTATTCTCCCTCTCTCTAAAATACACATAAATTTACCACATTAACCGTTTTAGGTGTAGAATTCTGTGACATTAAGTACCTTCACATTATTGTGCACCATCACCACCCTTCCCCAGAAATTTTTATCATTTCCAATTGAAAGTCTGTCCCCATTCACAACTATCCCCTCCCCTAACCTCTAGCAACCTGAATTTGACTCCTCTAAGGGCCTCATATAAGTGGAATCATGTAATATATGTCCCTTTGTGACTGGCTTGTTTCATTTAGCACAATGCCCTCAAGGTTCATCCACATTGGAGCATGTGTCAGAACTTCCTTCCTAAGGCTGAACAACCGTATTCCACTGGATGGATCAAGCAGACATGGTTTATCCATTCAGTCATCTGCAAATAGTTGGGTTGCTTCCACTTTTTGAATATTGTGAATAATGCTGCCGTGAACATCAGCATTAGATAGATCTGTTTGAGTCCCCACTGTTGATTCTTTGGGGCCTACACCTAGAAGAGGGATTGCTAGATTATATAGTAATTCTAACTCCTATTCTTTTGCATAAAGGCAATGGTGCATGTTAAGAGCACATCCAGTAACGCAGCCATCTGTACATTCCCTGGGAGTCGTGTCAGGCAACTAAAGCACAGCCAAGACTCGGCAAAGAGTACCTGACTCTTCCTTGCAGCAGACGTGTGTTTTCCACCTAGAGCAGTTGCAAACGAGCTGGAACACGGCAGAGCTAATAACATTTGAACTCTAAAATTAGGCTCTGGAAAAATGCTTTTAAGAAAATCATTTCCAGAAGTCCAATTAGCAGTTTTTGTTGTGCTTACTTTGTTAAGACCTGCCCGGAATTCAGAGTCCAGAAACCTGAGTTCCACCCTGCCCTGTCCATGACTAACAGTTAAGCTACTTAATTCTCTAGGCTCCCATTTTACCACCCGCAACATCACAAATGTCCCTGCACCTTCCTGATAAAAAGAGCAATGAGAATGAAAGCATTCTGGCAACCACACACACACACACACACACACACACACACACACACACACACACACGCAGATCAGCTGAATTAGCATACTGATAAATATGCCACCCCCTGCAGCCCTGGGTGTTTAGCAGAACTGAATGGTCATAAGTCGGACACATGGTCCTCTCTCAAAGGAAGTGAAATGGAATTCTTTAGAGGACGTGGTGCAGTAACAGCTGATCATTCCCTTTTGGATACGAAACATCTTTGAGTAAGAAGTGGAACTGCAGGGACCTTTGAGGAGGGATAGGAAAGCTGCTGGTGGGAATTTGAAACAAGGCAGTGAGGAGACCGTTCTCCATACATGAGGAATAGGCACCAAGAAAGAGAGCCAAGATTATAAAAAATACTCTTGGGAAAAATAGATGGGTAAGGTCTGTATTGTGCATCCTGTCCAGACAGTATTGACAGAAGGTTTTGTGAACACCTGGAGGTAGAGTAACTGACTACTCTAACCTACTTCACGTAGTTACTTCTGGCCTACAGTGCATATTATGCGCAGCAAAGATGTGTTCATTTACAGTCACTGATGAGATACTGGTGCCTAATTATGACACTTTTGCTGCATAATAAGTCAACATAGTTTCCTTGCCTTAAGAGAACTGACCAGTGAAGTTATTTTTAGATCTTACAACCTACACTCTTCTCTTCCAAGTTTTCAGAAAGTCTACTGTTGATTCTCCAGAAGGCAAGACATTTTTTTTTCACATAGTCTGATAAATTACTACTGAAGAGGATATATTCTCCCTCCTTCATTCCTTCCTCTTCGCTCCCTGAAACTGAAGAAGTGGCCAGGAAAAGGAATACATGTTTGGCTCTGGCTGGTGTGGCTCAGTTGGTTGAGGACTTGTCCCATACTTGAAAGGTTGTGGGTTCGATTCCTGGTCAGGACATGTACGGGATGCAACCAGTTGGTGATTCTCTCTCACGTGGATGTTTTTTTTCTCTCCCTTCCTCTCTGTAAAAGCAATGAAAACAAAAATGTCCTCAGGTGGGGACTAAATTTTTGTTTTTAATTAAAAAAAAAGAACATGTGTTTGGAATATGGACAGGATTCAGGTGATATAATCTATCACTTGTATATACAAGATAGAGGGCACAGGGCTATGGATGTAATAACAGTTAAGTCAAAGGAAAAATGAGACAGCACTTCTGAAGAACTTCTGAAAATTAAGATCCATTCTCAGGGCTATCAGTTTATGGATATGTACTTCTTTATTTTAGAGAGCTCAGAAAGAACCTGGAAAACAGAAAGAAATTTAGTATGCAATAAAGCTGGCATTTCTTATTAGAGGGGAAAAGGTGAGTGCAATGCACAGTGTTAAAGCAAGACACTATCCATTTGGAGGAAAACATTTTCCCCTTTAAATGGTGTCTTTCGCACTAATTCTCGGGCATCTGTTAGGGAGCTAGTAAACAGAGGTGGCACCGGGGGGTGAACACTGTTGGCACTCAACCATTTCCCACCATATGTTCCTTCTTGGCTAACCCAGTCCCCGCTGGCCAAGGATCTGTCTTACTTTCAAAGACATCTATTATGTTTCTGACTTGAATGTATCAATTTTAGGAAACCCCCACATAGCAGCAAGAGCATTCTCTCCCTAGTGATGAATGTTCTAAAACCATTTCTCTTTATTAGGAGTCAGCCACCGTGGGGAGGATGCTCCGTTGTTTGCTGCCTTCAGTGCATGAAAAACCCCCTTCTCTCGACTGCCTGAGCTGGGCACAGTGGACAGCAAGCACAGGGTTAAAAGCCAGGCTCCCAGCAGTTAGCAGAGGCTCAGCTGCCAGTAAACACAGTGCTGCCTGTACCCCATCAGGAAACCCTCCAATGGACCTAATTACCAGCCAGCAGCTGAGTTCCAGACGCGGGGCTGTAGGCTGGGCAGGGAACAAGTCAGGAGAGGTTATGCTGATGGGTGAGCGGCCCTAGGACAGTGCCTTACAGCACATTTCCTGGGTCATCTGTCACTCTGAATTGGTGACCTCGAATTCCTGGTTGCTGCTTTGGATGTCTGGAGGTGAAATTTGTACAGTACGAGCAGCAATAGCAGCAGCAGGACTAGAATCATTATTTTTATTTCAGTTGCTGGTGTCTAATTTTTAGGGAGAGTGTGTGATGGTGGAGGGAAGGAGAGTGCAATAGAAGGAGAATGTTCCAGAAGTCACATAGAATTTAGGAGAAGCTGAGTTAAGGGACATTTTTGCACATTGGCTACAGACTCCCCCCCCACCCCCACCCCAAGAACAGTGACTTGCCACTAGGCTACTTTCCCCTTGTCCAGGAAGGCAATGGAGTTTGGTGAGACCACCTCCCAGTGGAAGGCCCCGCCCACCTGCTTCCAGGCCGGGCCATGTTCTTGGGGCTTTGCTGGCTAAACTACTACACTGACATCTGTGAAGTGACATGATTAAAAAAAAAAAGAGTGGGTTAAAGTCCAGAAGATTATAGGCCCACATATTTTATTTTTATGCTTATTTAAGCTCCTTTACAGATCACAAAGGAGATTTACTAGGTTTTATCTGATAAACTGTTTTCCTCAGAGCCCTAGAACCTGAAAACCCCCACCTTCTCTATTTTACATTTCGGTGATCACCTGTTCCAATGTAATGTGTACATTTTCCCCAGCGTAGCTGTGTGTTTCGGACCTCTCTACCGTGTCGGATGTTAGTACACTTCCAAACAGATTACAGGATATATTTTATTTTCAGTAAGATGGCACCCCAGGG